GAGAATAATTTAATTAACTTGATATTGCAGTGAAAATAGTAGGTACATTTCTACACACATACTGATGCTTAGTAAATTCAGCTAACAAGATTCAGCTAACCACCTACCAAGATAGTGGCATCTACCATAGCTTCTCATATCTTTCATTCTTGCCATATCGACTTTGTGTCACTAGCAGCTAGGCAATAAGTCACACCTTTTTTTATTGCAAGGCTAAAGATTGTATGAAGAACATTTTCCTTTTAACTGTAACTCCCTGTTATTAACCTTATCACACTTGACACATGACTTGGTGCTCGTCTATTGTGCTATTGTTGGTCACCTGTGAAATTATCATTGTATGAAATGTCACAAGCTTACAGGTGACATTTAGGAAAATGAATGCAAGAGTTAATAGATGATGAGCATAGGGGTTTATGTCTATAATCCCAGCATTTGGGAGACTGGACAATAGGATCACAACTGAAAGACAAGCCTGGACTATTTAAGTGAGACCTATCTCAAAGAAAAGAGTTATTAGTCATATATACATGTATCATGCAATTTACCTCCCAATCTTTCAGAACTGAGCATTAAGGGTCATCCTTGTTGGGAAATAAACCAACAAAAATAAATTCAAACCTTACAAATGGAACTGGTTACATCTGTCCTGTGGCAGCTTTCAGTCATTAAAAATATACTGAGGGCTGGGAAGGTGGCTCAGTGGTAGAGCGCTTGCCTTGCATGCCTGAGGCGCTGGGTTCGATTCCTCAGCACCACATACGCAAAAAGAAAAAAAAAGCTAGAAGTGGCACTGTGGCTCAAGTGGTAGAGTACTAGCCTTGAGCTGAAGAGCTGAGGGACAGCGCCCAGGCCCAGAGTTCAGGCACCACGGCCAGACCCCCCCCCAAAAAAATTTAACAAAATATGCTGAGTAGCTGGCTTTCAAGATGATTTTGCTGGGAAGCTGGGAAGAGGAAATGTTTTTGTTTGTTTTGTTTTACCATACAATCGTAATTTCATCAGATGTGGGAAACTTTGTGAGCAGTCCTGCCTTTTGCTGTGAACTTTGTCCTAGGGTACATTTTTTTTATTTTTAAAAGCTTATTCCCTTCTTGAGCTTGATTCTCTATTTTTGGGGGGTGGGGGATGGTGGTATAGGAGTTTGATATTTGGGCTTAAATCTTGGTTTGAGATCAAGTCTTGGTTTTTGTACACTCTGGCCTGGGCTGCCATCTGCCTATTTGGGCTCCCACTGTAGTCGGGGTGACAGGTGCGTGCCAACATGCTCATTTTTTTTTTTTTCTGTTGAGAAGAGGCAAGACTGGCCTTAAACAGAATTCCTCCCAATCTCTACCTCCCAAGTAGCCCACCTGTGCCCAATCCTGTCTGATACTTCATTTGTGTGTGTTGGGGGTGGGGGGTGGTGGTACTGGGGTTGGATTCAGAGCCTCAGGTTTGCAAAGCAGTGCTCTATCTGTTGAACCATACCTCCAGTGCCTTATGAAGCTGGTCATCTTTTGAGCTAGGTTCTGACTTTGTGCCTAGGGTTGGCCTGGGCATACGCCTACATATACTCCCCCCTGGTGCTGGGGTGACAGGCACACACCACTGTGCTCAGCCATTGCACTTCCTTGACAGTTGGGATAATAGATATGAACCATCATAACCCAGATCACCGGCTCTTAAGTAGCTAGGCAGGTGTTACTCAGCTAGGCCCAAAAAGTCGTAATAAAAGATTTTGTTGTGAAACTGAGGAAATAATATTGCTACTTTTTTTTCTAGTTTTTAGCTCCTCTTTTCACTCCTCCCTCCTCCCCTTCCTTCTTTCCTTTACTGTGCTTCAGATGCAACCCAAGATCAATCACACATGCTAAGCACACACTCTAACAAATTACACCTGTAGTCTTAATGTTTTCAAATGATTAGAGTTCAATTCTTTTTAACTCAAACATTTGGCTTTCAATGAGTAAAAAAAAATGTTGCCATATATATGATAATTTTGTCATTGAAGTCCTCATATTAGTTAATTGCAAAATAAATACTATTTTCATTTAGGCCTTGTATATCTATCAACAATTCTCTGTTTTACTAAAGCAAGTATTCTTTAGTTCAGCATACCATAGAAGAATTTGACTGAATTCTAGAATAAACACAGATGAGCATAGGAAGATCATTCAAATTGAGTTTGACTCATTATTTTTCCAGAAATGCTTATTTCTGTAGATTGTATTAAACTCTGGCTTCCTTGCTTCCACTGAGCTGGCTCCTAGAGCATGTCATTCACATGGTTGGGACAGTTTCCTCAGTGGCTTGCTTTTCAACTCCTCTAAAACACAATCTATTACATTAAAGTAGTTTTAGCTTACAAGAAATTTTCCACTTAGAAATTGCTCACAGGCCAGTACCTCCTTCCCTCCCCACGTAAGCACTCTATACTCAAAGAATTCTGGTTATTAAAATGTCACAAGTAGTCTATTTCATTTTTGGCCAAGTTTCCAACTTCTGATTTGAAGGTAACTGAGACCAGAATCGAGATCAACTTCTTATTTTTTTTAAAAAAATTGGCTTTACAGAGTAATATGACCTTGATGCTTTCTTTTGCAGTGGCCAATCTGTGGGTATTTAGAGGTAACAGGCTCAATTAATTATTGATAGCAGCTCTGCTTTGCTTGCTATTTTATCTCTACCCTAAGGCTGCTTCTCTGTTGGGAGTTAGCTAGAGAACATTCATCTAGAGTTAACCTGTCTCTTTGAGATGACATGGGTTTTCTTTCTTCCTCCTTTCCCTTTTACTTTGTTATCCCAATACGCCTCCTCAGTATTAAGATACTAATAAGATAGGAACTTTCTTAGCATAACAGCAATCAAAATTGTAGAGATGATAGTTTCATCTTGAAATTGTCTACTCTGCACGTATGCGTGTGTGTGTGTGTGTGTGTGTGTGTGTGTGTGTGTGTGTGTGTGTGCATACACATGGGGCTTGAACTCAGAGACAGAGTGCTGTCCCTGAGCTTTTTTGCTCAACTCTAGCATTCTGCCACTTGAGCTACAGATCCACTTCCTGCTTTGTGGTGGTTAGAGCTAAGAATCTCATGGGCTTTCCTGCTAGAGTTGGCTTTGAAGCTTAATCTTCGGATCTCAATCTCCTGAATAGCTAGGATAACATGCAAAAGCCACTGGCACTCGGCAATTGTCCACCCTTTCAAAAAGGAAAAGATTTAAAGTTTTCTCCCATGACCACAGAGTAAGGACGTACCATGCTGTGTCAGGAGCAATGGATAGAACCCCAAGGCTGGAATGGGGACATCCCTCTGGGGGCAGAGAGGATCACGAAGCGTACCAAGGAGATGAATGGGGTTTAAGGAGATGAGAGGAGGAGAGCACAGAGAAGGGACTTAGTCCTTAGTCATTAGTCTGAGAGTGTAATATAAGAGCTAGCTTTGAAATTGGGCCTAAATCCATGTGTCTTAAAATGTAGTTTCTGAAATATGTTCACCTGGAATGCCACATTTTTGTTAAAATTTACAGTCTTGCCTGAGTGTTAATGGTAATTCTAGCTGCTCAGGACATTAAGATCTGAAGATTAAGCTTCAAACCAACCGGGGCTGGAAAGTCTATGAGATTCTTATCTCTAGCCACCAAAAATGCCAGAAGTGGATCTGTGGCTCAGGTGGTAAAGTACCAGCCTTGAACAGAAAAGGGAGAATGCCTGGTTCCTGAGTTCAAGCCCCAGTACCGGCAAGTGTGAGCACTTGTGTGTGCACACACACACATGAAAGAAAAAGAAAGGAAGGAAGGAAGGAAGAAAAGCATACTGTTGAGCCTAATCCATAGGCATGGACTGAGCATGGTCACTGATCACTCTCTCTCAGTGAATTTGAGAACCTTTGTTAAGGCAGTGCTGGTTTAGGTTTGGCTCATACTCACTTTCATTTCCCATTTTATATGACCAGCCTTAAACAGGGACTCATATCTGTGGACTCCTGGATTTAAAACAATTGTGATTCTCATGTTTGCTAGAGTTCAGATGTCTATTACTGTGCTTTGAAAATAGAAGAATTCTGATGAGATTTGTAGAAAGAACTTACTGGATTAAATTCCAAAGTAGCAATATAGTCACACTTGTAGGGGAACTAGAATTATCGACCAGAATAATACGGTATCAACAATAAGAGTTAAGTACCAAAGTCTTCCTCACAGTACCTAGCTACTTCTCTCCAGTAAAAGGGAGTGAGTGAGGAGTAAGAGATTTCTTCTAGGCTTTTCTTTTGTCCATGTTCCTTATTTTCCATCTACTGAAAAGCTAGTACTGTTCCAAGTTATGTGATACAATCAGAACAGAAGAGTGTATGTGTATTTTGCTTTAATCGGAGTCTTGCTCCTAAGGGAGAAAAAAAATAATGTTCAGTGTTTTCCCAGGGAGATGTCCCAGGACACTTTTCCCAAAGGACCGCATCGCTGATTCATCCATTCATATGAAATTTCTCAAAGTTGCTTTGGTTTTGTTTCTCCCTTTGCTAATGTTAATAGGATGTATACTATGAAGAAACTCTAGAGGACAGGAGAGGTTGAGCTCCGGAGCTCGCTCCTCTGTGGGCAGAGTCTCCTTTTCAGTATTCTAACACTCCTTGGTTGGAAGCCGGCCCTCCATGACATGCAGCTAGCGACATAGCAAAGCCACTGGTGCCCCTCCTCCATTGCTGTGTGACACGTTTCTGGTAGGAGGCAAGTGCTACATTGTCTTACCAGCTGACTAGTTTGGGTTCCTGCCTCTCTCGCTGCTAACCAGGAAAGTCTAACAGCCTAGGATTCTGCAGCTGTATAAGCTATGTGACTGCTGCTGACTAATGGGGAAGTGTATAGTGTTTGCTTCTGAATGTGAAATTATAGGAAACTTGAACTTGAGAGAATGCTTAGGCCGTGGACTTTACCATGATGGCAATGTAATATACTTTTATTGTTTTCTTACTGGGAATTTTTACAAGTCCTTATCTGAGACCACGTGCATGCTGAAGAAAAGGGAGGAGCATTTTTATACACATTCTGTAGGGGCTGTTGTCTCTTGGGCTATGTAGGAGCACCGCTCGGCTTGTAGTTCCTGAATCTTCTTTTCTTTTTCCTCCAGTACTTCTTCCAAGTGACTGATCTTCTCTGTCTGAAGGGAGAGTTGGCTTGACAGCTCCATAATCAGGCTAATTTTTCTATCACCTGCTTCCACGGGTGGGAGCTCTCCACATAGCTCTTCTGGCCACTGGTCTGCTAAAGTAAACGAGAGAAGGGAAGTCGGAACAGTTTTCATTGTGGTTCCCAGAACTGAAATAGGAGGGAAAATGACAAAAGCTTTATTTTTCATGTTCTCAAAAGACAGTTACAGATATGCTGTCATCTGATTAGATACAATGAAACAAAATCTAGACCCAGTGAGGGAAAGAGTGGGTGGGTGCACAGGACAAAACTTGGGGGTCTCTCGAGAATGAAGAGAATTGTCAGCTTCTGTCTACTCTTTAGATATATGTGTATTTAACTTTTAATTAACTGTGGGAATGAGCTGACCTCAAAAATCCAGTCCACAAACAACAGCCATCCCTAAGTTTTATGGTACACTTTTCTTTAACAGCCTCCTGCCAGATCTGCAATTAAGGAGAAAAAAAATATGCTTCCTATTAAATTTTTATCTGATTGATTTTTTTTTTAAAAAAAAAAGGCTTGGCCTGGTGCCTACAATGCTAGCTACTCAGGAGCCTGGGAGCTAAGGATCACAGTTTGAAGCCAGCCCAGGCAGGAAAAGTCCTTGAGACTCTTATCTCCAATTGACCGCCACAAAACCTGAGATGGAGTTCTGACTCAAGTGGTAGATTGATAGCTTTGAGCAAAGACGCTCAGGTGCCCAGGCCCTAAGCTCAAACCCCAGGATCATCACACACACACACACACACACACACACACACACACACACACACACACACACACACACACACACACACACACACACACACACACATACACACACACGGCTTCCCTTTCCCCTTCTGGGGAAAATAATCAAGAGAAAAAGCTAGCTTCTCAAGGCAAGCTTTAGGGTTGGGGAAGATTGGAAAGTGGGGGGGTGGGAGGTATGTGGAAGGGGGTTAGCCCTGTTCTAGGTAACTTTGCAGCTTATCTGCCCTAGAAATTCCATTCACCTGTATATGAAGGCTTTTCAGCATTTCTTAATAAAATCTCAAATTCCTCTCTGATGTCAAAGCTTACTCTTTATTAATTTCTATAACTGCCTCTCAGTTAAGGATGCAAATATGAATAATGAGGGAGAAGGAGACCCCAACAATGAGATGAAGCAATAGTGATGGGCAGAAAGGTATTCTGGTATACTCAGGGCTCATTCAAGCCGTTAGTTCCCTAAAGTAAAAACTATCTTACGCAACTCTAGTACCACTGTCTTCTTTACCATTCTTTTTTTTTTTTTTTTTTCAGGTAAGGGGTAGGTTTATTCATCGTTCCGGCTGGCACCAGGCCATCTTGGTCCTCCATGGGGTGGGGAAAGGCCTGGGAAAGACAGCTGGGAAAGAGAGAGAAAAGAGCTAGAAAAGAGAGCGTCTGGGAAAGGTGGGAAAGAGAGAGCTAGGAAAGAGAAGGGAGCTGGGGAAGAGAAGGAAAGAGCTGAGAAAGAGCTAGAAAAGATCAGAGAGAGAGAGAGAGAGAGCTTCTTTACCATTCTTTCTTCAAATTTCCATCATCAAATTTCTCTGAGCTACCTAAAAGGCAGACTTAGCTGTAAGTAGTAGTGAATGTCAAGGCTTGAGCATCATTTTAAGAATAGGAGTCCATGATATCCTGACACATGGCTGACACAGTTGATTGCTATAATTGAAGGTCCAGCCAATCCCCAGTGGAAGAGTTTGTAGGCATGTATGGCCATGGCTCACTGTGTCCCTTCCTATAAAGACACTAATACCATCAGAAAGACTTCATTCCCAAGATCTTATGGAGCAAAATGACTTCCAGCAGCGGCCATTGGTAACTACAATCACATAGCCGGAGGGAAGGACTTCAACATAGGAATTTGAGGGAAGCATAACTCAGTCTGTAAGAAATGAGTGGGAAAGGATCCTGAATCTGAAAACAAGGAGAGTTGGCTGGAAGCCTTTGACTGACACTGCGTTGTTTTATGTTATTAAGTGAAAATGCTGGTTACAAGTTGAGCTAAAGGGTATGTATAGCAAAAAGGATCATGCGGGAATGTTTTATTAATACTTTCTTTACACGTACACTACACATATTTTTGTTCTGTTTCTAAGCACATTAAAAATAATACGTTTTTCTAAACCCTTCAACAAAGTGGGAGATTTCAAGTGTTTCCTATTTTATTTGCATTGGCGTTTGTCCTACACCACCCTAGCGAGTTTTCTGGCCTCTCTCACTATTCCATTCATCTTTCCTTAACAAGTGCCCTTCATCTGTAACAGGAAGGTCTTGGCACCCTACCTATCCCGAATCTCAAACAACTGCAGTTTTCTCTAGACTTTTGCCAACAAGGCCATGGTTCTTAAACATGAGAGTCCTGCCACCTGACCAGATAAACCCAGGATTAACTCCTTACACTCTGCAGCACACCCAGAGGCAGTCACAAGAAAGATTGTTTTGAGTGTGAGAGATAGGAACCTGATTAGTCACAGGCAGGCATGTGTGTCACAAAGGATTTTATCTACGTATAGTTTTGTCATTATTTCCACTGTCTACCACTTTGAAATTGGGTATTGGGGGTTTGGAGATATAGCTCAGTGCTAGTACCTTTGTCTAGTTTACATAAGACTTTGGGCTCAATCCCCAGAAGGGAAAAATTAGTTGTAAAGTAAGAGTAAGAATGAGGGTTAAGGATTGTAGCAAAGAGGAAACAAAAGACAGTTTACATGGAACCATGAGGCTCACACCTGTAATATGAGCTACTGAGCTACTGAGCTACACAGGAGACTAAGAACTGAGGATTGAGGTTCAAAGCTGGGAAAGTCTGTGAGACTCTTATCTCCAATTAACTACCCAAAAAGCCAGAAGTGGAGGTGTGGCTCAAATAATAGCCTTGAGCAGAAAATGCTAAGGAACAGCACCTAGGCCAGAGTTCAAACCCCAGGACTGGCATGCATGCGTGCACGCACACACACACACACACACACACACACACACACACACACACACACACACACGAGATATGTTGTTTTTACATGGTTTGAATATGAAATGTCCAGCCGTCTCACATGTCAAATGCTTGATCCCCGGCTGCTGGTACTATCTGGGGAAGTTTTGGAGGTTTTCAGCAGTGAGGTCCAGGCAAACAGGGTGGCCCCTGGGTATGCTTTTTTCCCTTCCTCACTTCTCCACTTCTTGTCTGCTCTGAGGTGAACACCCTCCTCTCTCTATATGCTCCAGTTCCATAAGGTTCTTCCCAAGAGCACTGGACCCAACCACTGCGGTCCAAACTCTCGGAAACTGTAAGCCAGAAATAATCTTTATTCTTTGAGCTTGTTTTTGTTAGGCATGTTTGCCACAACAATGATGAAGTGACCAATTTGCTCCTGGGGAAGCAGGGCCATTGCTACGACTAAACCTGACCATATGGGTTTAAGTTGTGGTTAATGGGGAAAATGTGGAGACATGGAGCAGCAGGGTGGAGGAAAGCTAGAATGGTGCAGGCAGAACTTGGTGGGAGGTTGTGGTAGGAGCTCAGAAGACTAGAGTGCAGCCAGGAAGGGGCATGGCTCAGACAGAGCATGAGCTTTGTTGGGAATTCAATGACAGGCCTCTCATATCACATTCTGGCAAAGGAGATTTTGACCTTTTTTTTTTTTTCTATTTCCTGAGATTTGAGGGAAGCTTGATTGTCATTTGCAGGGAAATGGATGAACCTGGGATACCACCATGTTAAGTGAAATAAGTCAGGCTCAGAAAGACAAAGGATACATGTTTCTTTCATACGTGGAAGTTAGACCTAAAATCACAGATAAACACACACACATGTATATATACAGGGGTCATATACGTCTACACACAATTATATTAACTATAATATAGGCAGGTGAGGATTCCAATGGTGTAACTCCTTTGAATGACTAACATAGTTTAACACAATGAAGATGGAAACTTTTGGAGTCGGGGATGGGTGAATGGAGAGAGGAAAGGTGGGAGAATGCATTTAGAATATCCAAAGTACATGTGTGAGAATGGAACATGTAAATTGAGGGGATGGTGTCCTTTGGGAGAGAGGGAGGGTTATCCAGGGCTAGGGACACTGAGCAACATTCATTAGACTCATAAGCTCACATACTGAATTGATACCCTTTTGTACAACTACTTAGAAACAATTTTCAAAAAAAAAAAATCTTAAAAGGAAGTAGTACACCAGTTTGGTGAAGGGAAGTTCAATGCAGCATAGAGTTTGGGCTGTGGCATGAATAATGATGGATGCTTTTGGCCAGGTTTACAGAGAGAATTGGGAGGGGAAAAAATCAGAGCAGAAAGATTTTACGTACAGTTTGATCATCAAAGGAGCACGTAGAAAGTTGCAAGAAAGCGGGGTAGGGGGTGGGCATGGTTGTTTTATGGCAATAGCCATAAAAACAATCAAATACTTTGTATTGAAACAGTAACAAAGATTCTTTGAGGACATCAGGGGAATGGGCCGGACCTTACTTAGCTCCAGATTAAGGTTATAAAAGTTTCAGCTACTTTGAAAGGCTTGCCTTTGAGAAGAAAGTTCCAGGATGTGTTTTATGTACAGAGATTCTTGCCAGGAAAAGTGTTTTCCCCATATCCAGGCACCCAGACTTCAACATCATCTGCCTGATGCTGGTTTTGCAGGCCTACAGAATGCAAGAGCTCTAGTGGCCTGGAAGCTTCCTTATCTCAGGAAAGCCAAGACCAAACAATGGTGCGACAGGGTTGCAACCCCAGATAGGGTGATGCTGGAAGCTGAGAGGGCGAAACCTAAGTGATCCTAGAATCCTAGAGATACCAGGATGCGGATCATCTGCCAGAGAAGGCTGGAGGCAGTGAGCATAGCCATTTCAAGGGAGAAGCTGCGCTGGCAGTGACCAGCAAAGCCCAAGGGTTGGAGATGCTCAGCCTGCTGGAGCTCACGGCATTATTCCATTATTAGCCTTGGATGCTACACATGCCGCTACAAGATTTAGTGTACTCAGCTAAGTTTTGGTCTTGCTCCTGTCCAGTCTTTTTTCTCTTTTCATGGACCATTTGCAAATGGTAATGTT